AAAGGTACATAATTTCTTTTTTAAATTAATGGGTAATAAACGGTGTATTCACATTAAAAAAAACCTTGCTTGTTAAAGCTATTATCATATTCCGTTTTATCGTATAACATTTTAACATAAAAGATATTTCCTGCGGTAATGATTAATTTAAACCCAAAATGATTAATATAGATTACATTTTAAACTGTGTTTGAATACTTAATTATCAACAGTGAAAATTATATTATTATCATTGGGTTGGAAACTATGATAAAATGTTCAAAACGTTTGTGACGTACACAAAACAGCTTTAAAAAATATGAAGAAAAACCATAGCAAATCCCAATATTGTCCATGTGACTGTAGCAACTAATAGGATGATTGCGTATCGCGTTTTGTCTGGATGCCATGGTGAAGGAGTCCGAGGACATATAGCCGGGCATTTTTTATCCTTAGAAGTGGCCTTTTCTGGATCAATAGCTGGAGGGCGTTTCATCTCCATCGAAGTAGTACAACATTTTCCGCTGAACCCTTTATTATCCATCTTCAATGGTTATGAACGTTTTTAACTGGAAAAATCGACATTATTTTTACAATAACATAATTGGAGTACATAGAGCTGAAGAGATCATAATAATAAAATATTGATTTCGAGATTATTGTTTTTAATAATTAAAAAATTAATATATTTCAATGCAGTTATTTAATGAATCCAATGATAAATATCACGTTGTTTAAAAAATTCAGTCTGACATTACATTTATTCAAATGATGGGTCATTAACTTTTAGTTTAAAATTTTTCTCTTTATTTAATGTATTTCATCAAAACTCATTAGGTAAATGTTCAATGGTATGAATTAATTAATGCATTTTAAAAGACTATATTTTTAAAGGCATTGGTTTACTTATAACTATGTGTTTTTTACTGGTGTAATCGAAGGGATTAAGAATTATAAAAATTTTAAATCAACATCTAAATATTCAGAAAAAAAATATTTACAATGGAATGTTACATTATTTTTAGGTAGGAGGAAAATATATTTAATCCTTTCCAGAGGCGTTGTTTAAGGGGTATTTTTCAAAACCCAACTGAAGCCAAAAACATAACTAAACATATACCGTGAACCATACCAACGTCGCAATTAGACATTTTTATATTTTAGAAGAATATATTTTTTTAATTCAAAAACTACTTGCGATTCAAGAAACACTAATAATTTTAAAGGAGGAATAAAAATAAGACAATTTTTTACTATGTTCTTCAATCGAAATGTTCAAACCCTCTCCCTAAAATTGTTTGAAAATACACGGCTGGTCCTCTCGAGTTTATTTTAGACTCGGAGATATTACACAACTACAAATTGATTTAAAACAAAGTTTTCCTGTAAAAGATATTTTGAAATCTTTATTTATTGGGTACTATAAATTAAAATCAAATTAATTTAAAAAAATGTATTAATTACTTTATTTTTTAAATAATACTTAATCGTGAAGGAATACTTGCAGTTAGTTTATAACAGGTTAATACAATTAACTGTTATATTTGAGTGCATTAGCATTAAAACCATCAGCTTTACTTAACGCGTTTATTATGAAAATAATCACCATAGTTAACTTCTTGCACTTGTTGGACTATTAAATATTCAATGACGGTAAATTTAACCGAAGTACGATTGTTAATTGTCGAGGAATACTATGATTATTATTACGTTAGGTTATTATTTATCGAATACTCTGTACATTTTAACAACAAACAATTAATAAAACATATATAGTAATTAATTTCCTTACAAAATATGCGTAAAGTTAACTTATGAAACGTTGATAATTTTTTTTATCGAAATGTCCAAGTGAAAGTGTTCGTTCGGCTGTTATGATTGTACGCGGAAGGCCAATCGTCACAGCTGTTTACAAAATACTTATTATATCATTCAGGTATTTTATTGGTTAGTATTTGGTAAGTACTATTTACCGACAATTCATTTGAATTTGGACAAATGCAACCGCTAACAAATGTTGTAACATGTTAAAAACAATACGCGAATCGATCGCATATCTACTAAAAATAGTGAACAAATGTTGTACTTACAATTTCTCACGTCGAGTCTATTCAACAACACCGTCGTACGCGCACCGGCAACGAATAACGTGTGTACTCATAATGTGAACGGTTGAAAGCCACCGGAACTCAACTGAAACCGCATCGTCCAAACGATTACACAATGCCATTACTGCCCATCACTTTATTCTCTACCACACAACGACAACTAACCGCGTACTTGAACAGCGCTAAGATGCCCATGACTAGTGCTATCGTCGTGAGACTATAAATATCGTAAATACTGTACCGACATTTTTGTCACCAAAATTTAATATTAAATTAATGATGTACTAACTTTATATTAAAAAAAAAAAAACCACATTACTTGTTACATTATTTGTGTCGTTTTTATCTCTTTATTTTTCTTCGATAAATGCATCGGTACATTTTTAAAAATCTGATCAAATTTTAAATGTTGCTAAATTTTTATTTTACTTAAAATTGTTTGCAAGAATAAAAGTATTTCAGTATATGTTGATGATGTTTATAACTGTATTTTTTTTTTTTTTTTTAAGAGTAACTTTTAACTTTGTTAAAATTTTAGGAAATTGAAAGATGTTATACTGATCATTTATTTATTTAACCTCGACTTTCTTTTACAAACGTATACATAACAAATGCCTGGCGAGTGTTAAATAGCAAAAAAAAAAAACGTAGGAGCATTGTGATTCCAATAATATTTTGAACGTATTAACAACAAAAAATAAATAATCAATTAAGATTATTTAACCAATTTATTCATTGAATAATTCCGGAGAAATGGAGTCGACTGCTGTAAGTTGTAGGGGACCATTTTTCCTTAGACCCCCACACTTAAGTATTTCATGGTGATAATTTTTAGGTTAACGATATAAGTTTTCTTGGATGAACTATACAACAAAAGTTAAAGGTAAACTATGTCAGGGATATCTAAAATATCTTAATAATATTTAATTTAATTATTAATGCGCATTATTTTTCGGACTTTCAATAAGTAGTCATTTTTTTCGAAATAGTAATATTTATAAAAAAATAAACAATATTTTTAATCTTATCTTTCAAGTCAAAGTATCAAACTTCACCAGTTTATCATCTAATAATTCTTGTTAATTTGTTTATCATGCTACTCCTTGGCCGTAATATAATGTTTATCGATAATTAATAAATATCTATCATTTTGTACCGATTAATCGCTTTTATTGAACCAAGATTAACTTAATTATTAAACTAAAGTAGGTGGAAGTTGTATTAAGAATTATAAACCTTTAAAGCGAGTAATATGTTTACTATAACTTTGACATCTGTAAATATCAAATAAAACATAATAAGTAAATAAATTAACTATAATATTATAATTACTCATTTTATGGTATCAACATGATTGATTATAGTATTTATTTATATATTTATAAATAGATTTTTTTCATTTTATAAATCTAAAAGTAAAAAGTCGAAATATTTCGGTTTTTCAAAATTTTTTATTATATTTAGTAATTTAGTTGATCTATATCAATATTTTTTAAAGATTTGTAAGGTTAAAAACTGTAGAAAGTATTATGATATCGTTTATTCGAATATATATTAAAAAAAATTCAATATTGATGAACAAATTTACTAGGTATAAGAAAAATTGTCAAAACCGAAATTATTTTAGCCCTTTTAAAATACCAATTTGAAAAAATTTACTTTTCTAGCTTCAATGTTACCATGATGTGTTTTTTTTTTTTTATGTCTTGCCACTTTTTCTCAGCTCTCACTGGGCCGATTTCTTTCAACAATACGTCAAAAGATCACAAATTGTATCTAGTTGAAGAAATTACCCTTAAAAATTGAAAAATGTTCCCTCGTTCCCCGCAAATGGGGGAAATATCCAAAATATTACAAATTTAAAAATTAGTAAATTTTGCATTTTTTTCCTTAAAACTTCCATAACTTTTTCAAAAATAAACAAATCAACATAATATTTTTTTATATTGAAACCTTAGGTAATTTACTTTCGTTTGATATCATTTTTTTTGAAAATCTAACACTTATTCTGATCACAAAGGGGATTTAAAATAGCAACTTTTTTACAAAAACTAACTTTTTCAACTTAATTTTTGAAAATGATCCGGAAATACTACGTCCTTTAAACATATATCAAATTAAATCTTATTTTATGTACTATAAAATGAAAAAAAAAATTTGTCCCGACAATCTATTTTCTATGTGCAAATGGCTACCGTATTTAAAAATATGCTATTTTTCTATTAAAATTCTAGGTTTTGTATTTTATTTTATTTAAAAGTATTTTATTAGGAGAATACATGGTGAAAATAGCTACCGTATTAAAAAATATGCTATTATTGTGTTAAAATTCTTGGTTTTGTATTTTATTTTATCATAAGAGGATTACACTGATTTTCATAAATATTATATCAATCTAAATGACGGGGTCGTGGCATAGTTGGGTCCAGTATAGATGATATCTGACAGTGATTAAAATCACTATCATAAAAAACGATTCGATGCAAATCTGTAGATAGTGTTTAATTTAAAAAAAAAAATTTGTCAAAAAAGTAGGTCAAATGAGAGCTGAGAAAATAAATGATAGCTACAAAAAAAAAAACCACATAGTAAAATAATATTAATATGAATTTTTTCTCACGAGAGGAGACTACAGTAATGGAATCCTTGATATCTATTGAAGTTATTGAATCTAAATGAGATAAAAATCAAATTAGTTAAACATTTTTTTTTAACTCAAAAAGAATTAAAAAAAATTCAGTGCCACAGTCGTGAAAGACCCAAGTTTTACCGTCTCAAAAACCGTACGTCTCATTCGTCACTTAAAAAAAATGGAAATTTAGCTAGTTCAAATTTATAAAGTTATTTTTCTCGACTTCAAAGAAACAAAATTAATTTTGCTAAAAAACAAAGTTAATTTTCAAGTAACTATCGCAAACAAATTATACATGATGGCAAGATCAATCTTAAAATTTCCCTTGTAAAAACTTGTTTTTTTTTTCAAAAAAAAATTTAAATTGTGTTAAAATATGATTTAGTGTTTCTATGGTGTTAATAGAGATTTATTTTGGCGAACTAATAAATTGTAAAAATATTTGTAGTAATGGTAAGTAAAATAAAATGCATTTTACAAAAAAAACTCATGTTACATACTTGTAACGATATTTGAATTTATGAACTTTCAAAAAGTAAAATTATGCCACATAAAAATCATATTATTTAGTGCTCAATTTTTCCTATTTTATAATTGAACAAATATGAATACTCGGAAAATTTGAATAATTATAATATGTCAAAATCTAATTGTCATAAATTGTAAACATAGACTCAAAATACAGTGAAATAACTATGCTGGGCAAACATTTATTTAGCAATTGCGTGTAATAATAACAACCAATGATAATTTTTCAAAAAGTTAACAGTGTTTTAAAAATGCTTACGATGAGAAAAATATTGATTTTTTCTAAAATAATTGATAGAATTATAATTGGAGTACACAAAAGTAATTATACAATTGTTGCTTTTATAAATTTAATGATCTATATTTATTCGATGAATTATAATCATAAATGTTTTATTTCAAAAAAATAGTTCAGACAAAGTAAATAGTATAAGGTAAATAGTTACAATTTGACCTAAAAACTGTTATTTAAACTAAAACCGTTACGAAATTATCAATTAATGAAATTGATTGAAAAATAGCCTTAGAAATTCTTAGTTAATAATTATATAATATTTATTAATATTTAATTCTATAAACATATAAATTAACAGATCTTGAGGTCTATTTTGTAATTTTATGTACTAATGTATTTAGTGTACTAAAACATGTTGTTTTAGTGCAACTCTTAGTAAGAAACTAAAATACCGTTCGTTTGAATGCTGATATGCTAAAAAATATTTATAAGTGTACAAAAATTTTAGATGAACTTTTTAAAGTCGGTATCTACTATACTAATCATAATTTTAGTATACTTCTTACTGTTATAATTATTTTTTTATGAAACCGTATAATTTTTGGTGTATTTATAACGCTTGTAAATCAATTTATTAATACGAAAATGGAACATCTTAATGGGTAATATATTTAAATTATAAATGATTTAGAAGTTACTGAAAAAGGTCAAGACAATGACCACACAACAATGAGATAAAATATGACAGAAGATCTGTTCATTGGTATGTCACAAAACCAATTAAAATATATAAAGATACATATATTTTCTAGTTAAATTAATAAAATGCTATTTTCTGTAGTTTTGTTTCTAAGATAATTTGTACAAAAATTTAGACTAACAAAAGATCTTGTACAAAGTTTAATTAATGAACTGCCTGCATAAGGGCCTAAAGTATTTTATAGTAAAATATTTGTCAATAATTAGTCCAAGCTAAAATATAGACCCCCAGAAACGAGACACCTCTTATATGTAATACATTAAAGCCAACATATTTGTATCTAAAAAAGGATTTTTGATAGAAGACTTATAATTTTGCGATTATTTTATGTATTTTTATGAAATTTATACATAGAACATCATAAATTACTTCACAAATTATTACTCGTTTTTGGTTTATTCATTTATATGTCTATGAAAAATAGCTCATCAAGTTATCACATAACCATCACTCAGAGACCTGTGAAGTTCTTAAACTCATCTCTGAAACGACCCTGGGATGCTTGAAGCAGAATTTAGAAAAGTTAATACATGCAAAAAATTGCTTTTTCGTATATGTCACTAAGTACGTATTTATTTGAGGATCAATACTTCCATGTGTAATTACTTAAAATTTATTTTTATTTTAAAGTCGTATTAACTTTTTTGCACCTTCACATTGTATATTTACAAATATTTCTAAGGTGTAAAGTTACATAGGATTGTGATATATTATTTTCTGAGTCTATTAAAAAGCACATATCTACATTTAAAAACTTTAAACTATCTACATTTGATCAGTATTATTTTGGTCGTTTGCCAATTATCAGTGTCTATAAACAATTTACATAGTCAGTTGTATAAATGTGTAATTGATATATAAAGTCGGTTTAGGATTTTGCTATTAGCAACAGGATACTATAGTGAAATTAATTAATTAATTTGGTAAACTTGGTAAACCTATTTTTGAATTTTAACAAATAAAAGCAGAAAAATATGACATCTTAATTTCATCCACAACTTTAGTATGTCAGACACCAATCAAATAATTATTCGAATAGAATAAATAATTTTAAAATTCAAGATGCATTTATTCAGCATGAAAATAAATTGACAATTGCATTTAATCATCGGTTCACTATTAGGTTATTAAGCTTTTATTTATAATACATAATTTTTTTTAATAATTTAAAGTAATTTTATGTGTCAAAATATGAATAAATAAAATGATTATTTTTTCATCCAAATCAGTATGAACTGTGCACCATATTATACTTTATTTCTAAAATAATACAAGCTCTTTGAGTTTTCATTTTTTTCATACAAAATGTCCAACCATAAAAATGAGTCGCCGTTTAGAGAATAAATTCAAACATCACATTGATTTTAGCATCACTGTTATGCACACAGGTTATAATTATCGTTATAGTCACTTCAAGAAAGCAAAATTTTAGTAGAATTAGTTTTTTATGTAAATAATAGCTATGCAAAAAGACTATCTTGTAAATTACATTAAATCGAATTTGCCTTTGTTGGTAGATTGCTTAAATGTCTATTATGTTGCCAGGTTTCTGTTTTACTGGCGTAACTCGCTGTGTAAAATCATTTTAGATTTTTACGCTCTCATTATTTTAGCAAAAAATAAATAAATTAATAAGAATTTAATTGAATTCTTCCCATTAATTGTTAAGCTATACAATAAGACGCAAGTAGCATTGTCGAGTTCCACAAATTGAACATTTATTACTTTAGCAAAGCTGATATTCGTGTCTGTTGATTTAAAAAATATTTTGAAATATTGTATTATACAAGTATTTTATTTTGAATATCTACTAAAAATTGAAATAATTTGCCTCGTTCCCCGTAAATGGGGGAACCTCCAAAAAATTACAAATTTAAAAATCGCTAATTTTCGAAAGTTTCGAAATTTTTTTTACTAAAAACTAACATAACTTTTTCAAAAACGAACATATAAATATAATTTTGTTTTTATAGATGCTTGATATTTTGACCTATCATTTGGTATATTTTTTTTATAAATTTAACCCTTTACCTGCCCACAGGGGGGATTGAAAATGACAACTTTTTAAAGTTTTCCGGAAAGACTGACTCTTTTACATATATCTTAAATTAAAGCTAATGTTATGTACTTTATTATGAAAAAAAAAATTTGATCTCTGGACTTGCCTTCGTGGTGAAAATGGCTACCAAATGCTATTATTGTGTGAAAATTCTCGATTTTATTTTTTACATTTTTAACTTTATAATGCTACAACTTATTGAAAAGTGTATGGATCAACACAATTTTTTTATGAGAAATAATATTTTTTAATAATTCCTCTTTCATTCGACATACTTTATCTTGATCAGGATATTAATAAGGAACTAGCAGATCATGTAGCTTTTGGAATAAAACATCAATTTTTTTAAAATTAAACACTATCTAAAGATTTGTATCGAAGTGTTTATTTTTGATAGTGATTTTAATCACTGTCAGATATCATTATACTTGATTCTACTATGCCACGTCACCACTGTGCTGCGATCCCCATGTGCTGGGTTTTTTATAAAAGGAATTTTTGCTAATAATGAGAAAATCATATTTTGGTTGATATGCTCTTATCATCCTAAACCTTTGACATTCAAAATTTATTCTTAAGTTATTCCTAAGGGATAATGAATAAAGTAGAATAGCAGAGCCAAATATTAAAACTTAGTAAAAAACGTAGGGTTTTGTTAAATCAATTTTTTTTAATAATCATAAAAAATTTCATTTCAATTTATTTCATTTTAGTTTCAGACTACCAATAAATACGTGACAGAATGCATATACTTCAAAATAGCGTTTCATTATGAGAATAAAGGTAAACAATTTTAACAGTTTGAAAATATTAATCGCTTATTAACTGAAAATATTTAAAGTCATTATTTTTTTTAACAATGAGTAAGTAAAATATCACAGAACTTATATAAATGTTCTTTTTTAAATAGTTTAATGCATCGTCTCTTCATGATTATAAAATAACTGTTTAACTTAATTGTATATTTAAAAAATTCATGTAATTCTAAAACAAATTAAAATGTATTTATATGTTAAAGGTTCGATCACTGAATCTTTTTTTTAGTTTCCTACTAGGTGGTGTATTAAAAATAATTAATTTAAATTATATTATTATTTTAAATACCTAAATACTAGTTATAGGACAATGCTCAATTTATATACAATGACATAGGCAAAATATGCAGTTGCTAGCGGATTTTTAAATTTTTTATGTATTTATCATTTTGTGTATAATTTTCATGTGTAACCTCAGCCATCAGTTTATTTAAAGAGTTATACAATTTTATTAATAATATGCTACTTAGAATAATCTAGAACAAGGAATTTATTTCCTACTCTTGAAAATACTATTGTATTATAGTATTCTCACTAGATATAGACCTTGAATTATTTATATAAAAACAAGTAGTTGTTGCAAATTAAAATTAAAATTCTACATTTTATAAAAACTCTTATTTTGTTTATTAAAAACTGAAATTATCTTGTTATTAAACAGAACCCTTTAATGTTGGCGTTATATAACTTTTTTCGAGATTATAATTATACTTTTCATCGTGTATACATTATAATATACTTATATATAGTATAAGTTGACCTAATGAGTTATTTTTGAAATTTAATCTTCTTGGAAGTATTGAAACCAAAGAGGACTCTTATATATTGTACAATTTAATAAAAAGTGATCTTAATTTTTTTTTTTTTCAAAAATCCTACACAGACTGTAACCTATAAAATCTTGAGGATTATAATAAATGATAAGTATTTGTGTGATAAATATTTAGTTAAACAAATTATATGTAGTATATATAATTACATATATAAACAAATATATATAATATATAGATAAATGTAAACACTTCTTACGTTTATAAGTGTTAACTTGGAAAATTATTAAAATTACACTTAATTAATATTAAACCTTAAAATTGCTAAGATAAATTATGATACCTTCTAATCTAAATTAAAATAATGATACTAATAAGGAAGTTAAAATTTTATTACTTTTGACTGTGTTATTTATTTAATTGTTGTTCTTTATAAAAACTTGTTTATTTAAATAGTTATAAAATTAAGATATTATTTATTTATTTGTTTATATATGATATTCTAATATAAATTGATATTAAAAACTATAAATAACTCTGTTTATCATATTAATAATAGTGTATAAAAAAAAACTCACTTTATACATTTAAGATTTATATTGTTTTAAAGAAGATATAAAAAAAACTTTTTTAAAATAATCTGAAGTCTAATGTTTATAGAAATTATTTTTAAAAATGTCAGAACACCATTTTTTTTGTAATACAAAAAAAATTCATATCATTTTATACCGAAAAGACTTTACAATAAAATATATTATATTTTTCATAAATATTCTAAGATTTTTAAGAATCTAATAAACTTTAACAACTGTTTTTAAAGTGCTATAACTCTTTAGTGCGAATGTGATATGCAAAACGTACTATATTTCTGTTGTTAATAGAGAGAAATCATTATTTATATTTTTTTTAAGATTGAAAAATATGTATTTATATAAATTTATCCAGTCTATCCAAACTAAAAAAAAATAATTATTATTATGATAATAATAATAATAATAATAATAATAAGTAAAAAGATTTCAACTATTTACACATCATTATGACATTTTGTTTTAATTAAGAAAATGATCAGGTATTAAAAAAAACATCAAATGGTACTAATAATTTTTTTCAAATTGAACATTACAGTTAAATACAAACACATTTTTAAGAATCACAATTTTTTTTAAATATTTCATACAAAAATTATTAAACTTGATTCATTGATTAAGTGATATTATTGTACTTTATTAATATTTAATATAAAATGATGATAAAATTGATGTGCATCAAAATTAATATAATAGAATAATGTAATTAAGGTGTCACTTCTTTTTTAGAGAAATCATCTATTTAAATAAATTGTACATGCACAATAAACTTCATAAATATTTATTAATTTTGCTAATGAGGCGTGTGTTATGTATAATTTTAATTATCATATTCCATGTAATGACGTAGATTTTCTAATTAAAGGTACATTAAAATACGTCTATTGATTTTGAATTGGTTCATTAACTTACGAATATTATAGAAAATCGACCATAAAAATTATTGTATTTTTGTTTTATTTTTTTATTTATGACGAATTAAAAAACAAAATTAATAAAATTATGTTTTCTTGGTGACTATTTAATCATTTATTAAGTATAACATTGAACTTCAGTACTTATACTTATTGTATCTATTGTTTTAATAATCAGTTTTACATCCTTCTATTTCCAGAACTTAACATGTTATATAGAGGGCGGTGGCAATCTATTACACATTAGGAGGAATTGGGTATCGTGGATAGTTTGTACCAAAGACCTGACTCCAACAATGAGAAAATCAAAAAAAAAATCTCGTTGGCAACCTGTGGATCGAACACGGGACGTCGTGTGCCAAAACATACATTTCTACACACTAGACACCTTTTAATGACCTATTGTATAGATTGCAAAATAAAAAATTGTTTTTTTTTATAAATAAAACTAAACTTTTCAAAATAAATATTAAAAAAAATTTTTATTTTTATTATAGCGCTTTAAAGATAACATGAGCTAAAAATGCGAAAAAATTATTAGAAGACATCAGTTTGAGTTCAATAATAAAAGGCAATGATGTAAAATGTATTGTAAGCACATAATTTCAAACAAATTAAATGGTAAAATAGTCATTGATGTAAACGACAACGATATAATACAACTAGATCATTTTTTACTTATTTTGTGTACAATGTAATAGGTTAAGTGTTTCGATGAATTATTTGAAATTTATTTTAAAGCAAAGTGTTACAAAATGAAGAATGTGAACATTACATCAGTTGATCAATGAAAACAGTTTGGCAATGACGTTGATTATAAATTCTCTGTGGTTTGTAAATAATGTGTACGGCCATAGTCTCAATCTATCAAAATTACAAAATCAAGTATCACTGAACTCACGCCCTTTAAAAAGTTTAACACATACAACTAGTATTGTGGAATTTCGTTTAGGTCTAAATATTATTAAAAATTTGACGGAAAATTTTTTAAGCGAATATCAAAAATTGTCTATGGACGAAACAAAACGAACAAAAAGTTTAAGGGTAATGAAAAACATAGTAAGCGCAGTGTACGATGCTTAAATGTTTCAACAAAATAGATAGATTTTTTAGGCTGGCAAATAAGTGATGAAAAAAAATCTTTAAAAGTATTTGAAAAACTAATGTTTGAATATAACAAAAATCATTTGCCATAAATGTGAAACAACATATTCTACGTAGCAAGTGTAAAATTATTTTTCATCCATTTAATATATCCATTAAATCAAATTGTAAATCAAAGTTAAATCAAAGTTAAAGTTAAATCAAAGTGTAATTTTATATAATACTAATAAGATTACCTAGTTTACTATTATACGGTTAATTTCTATTGTCAGTTAAATGTTCAATAGAAATTGTCTGATATTTGAACATTATTTTATGTGGTCATGTCACATGACTCGTCTGAAATGAAAAGAATGAATTCCATTATTTTGGTGTTTGGAATTCGTAAATAATAATCAACATGATTTATTTTTTATCCATATATTTAATCGAATAGTCTTACATTATGTCAGTCATTATATATTTTACAAGTCTAGGCTGCTAATTATATAGATTTAGTTTTACTATGGTTTTGCTGAATACATATACGCAGTGTTAGATATTACACCGGTCACTGTTATTTGTCTCTATTCATAAATACCCTTGAAAATTAAACTGACCTTGATTATTAATATTTCAAATATTTTAAAGTAGTAATTTTAAATTTAACAGTTATATTTTATCAATCAGTCCTGTTTTTTTAAATTCCAAAAAATAGCACTTGTTTTTTTTTTTTGTCAAAAACGAGTTTTCAAACAATTTGATAATAAGGTTCAAAGAAGTGAATACTACTATTACTATTATATAATGGCGTGTATATGGTTTGAAAATTATAATATATAACCGGACGTTCCGCTTTCGTTATAAAAATGTTACTTGTCCATTTAGGTAAACAATATAAACTTGGGATTAGAAGTTAAATCCATCAGACCATTTAACGATGTTTCCCCTATAATGTTCCAATTGTTGATCGTACGACAACTAGCAATAAATCAATAAATGCTTCAATCAAACATGATATTATTAGACGTGACCAAATGAAACACACGAAATACACGAGAATTCAATCCCAGTGAAAGTGATCACGTGCTTGTGGTTTTCGCTTTAATTCCTATGGCGAATTCAATAAGTGTCTTTCGCTCTATGCGGAAGATCCATTCCTTCACGGTGTGGTACATACACTGTTGATTATGAATATTGTTTATGTTTAATTTATCTACGTGTACAAACGTTCGTCATGATCTTATCCGATCAGTGGTGCTGTATAAACACCACTGTCGCTTTCGTGAATTACATGAAGATAAAAAAATACACGGGTAAAAAAATAATGGCGCCGCTGAATACTAAATATTTCCCTAGATAACATGCATCATCTGTAAATAAAGAATATACTTTCATCTATCGATCCTTCGGTGAAGTCGTTACATCACAATATTATTTCGTATCACTTTTACAGTGCCTATGGTTACTAATACGATTGCAGTGTCCAGAATACCTTCCGCGCATAAATATTCTACGGTTTACACAATTAAAACTATATTAACATCACATGTTGATCAACCAGTTGATCACTTTGCCTGTAACGTTTTCAGTTATTTCACCTGACTTTTTTACCGCGAAATTCATATTGCGTTGGTATTTATTTAAAAATAAACAACGGATATATCACCTTTTATTATTATTGACCAAATAATTATTTCTTCAGCAAAATAATTTCACTCTAATGTCTTGTTGCTAATAGCAATATCCTAGACCGACTTTATGTGTCAAATACACATGACAATACAACTGACTATGTAAATTGTTTATAGACACTGTTAATTGGCAAACGACCAAAATGAATCGTTCACTAATGTTCTAGATAATCATTATTCAAATAACTTGCTTACTAGTAATGATTGTGTTCAATTATGTAAATTACTATACAAATTAAATGTCTCGATCTCCTTCCTTTTCCACAGACTAATATTTAACATAATAAAATACAACACATCTCGCGTGATATCATTTTTTTAAAAGTATTTGCATTTACTTATCAAGTATATAACTGTCTTAAATTTAAACGATAATTGAAGGTTTCTATTGGTTTGCTAGGTGTTTACGTTTAGGCAATACCAAACACTTGTGTGGTGTTAATACTATCAGTGGCATGTTTTACGGCTGCAATAAAATTATTATCACGACTTTTCATTGACCGCAATACAATAATTAAGAATTTCAACAAATAGTGATTGAAATCATATTTCAACCACTAAACTGTTTTGTTGTCAGAAAATATTAAAGATTATTTTTTACTTTTAAAAACAAAAAGATCATTAAATTGATCCAAGTATAATTAGACAACTTGAATTGACTTGTCTCAGAATTCGAAAAATCCATATTTTGAGCAAATAAACGTGTAAAAAAATATTCTGGATTCTCGTTATTAAAATTGAGGTTAAATTTTATAACACATTTTTAATTAACATTTTATTTTTTGCTGCATTTGATGTACATACAGACCAATCACTGTATTTTAGTCGTGTTATTTTATACTGATGACCTTGTCTTTAGCCAGCGGCATTGGATGAATTCGTCGCGCGCGCAAGCCCCAGCAGGTCTTTAATGATGATTATTTGCTTTGTAATTAATCATAACCGAAAAATAGGCAGAGAATCCTCTATATATTATACAGTGTCGATAAATATATATATTTTTTTAAATTTAAAATTTAATAAATTAAATATGAGCTGTAGCAGTTTGGTTGAATCACATTGGAAGAGAGGCTATTGTTGAGATGATCTATTCTTTTCAATTCACCGTTAAGTTAACAATTGAATAAAGTCTTGGCAAATAACTAGTTACACAATTATTTTTACACGACAAGGTCTAATATGATTTAATTTTATTTAGTTTTTTGACAAACTCATAAAAACAGAACCTTTATTTTCCTATAAATCACGTTGCGGACATTAATCGTATTATTTAGCGATTGTTCTTCAATATAAAATGTTTAATCTATACATATAACATAAATTATAGACAGAGTATTAATTAATACCTAGTCTAAGGCTATCATAAAAAGTTTAGCGTTTATTACTACATAATAATCACGCTACTCGACGACCGTGATCCTTCTAGTCAAATAAAATACATGTGAAAATGTATTCTAATTCTAGCTGAAAATTATAAATAATTAAATACATCAGTAAATTTTACCATAGTTTAGTGCTCCCCTACCTCTGTGTACCCGTTTTACCGGATCGACTGGTCAAACATACTAAAAAATTCCAGTTCTTCATACCTGGAAGTGCAAATACGTACAACGACGTAATATCTTAGCCTTGTATAATAAAATGTAGCTTGGTGAAATTATCACATATTTTTTATCTATTTAAATCCAAGATATGTTATGTGATTTAATGATGATGAAGGCGATCAACTATCACCGCAGAAAATCAAATAATTTATAAGAAGTGAACTTTGATTAGCTAAATCGGCCAAGAAAGTGTTGGTCCCAGAGAATTTTATTTCAAGAGAAATGATAATAGATGTTTGTTTCGTTTAATGATTCCGCCACGCCTCATAATTGTTCTTCAAATAGTTTTGTTTTAGTTATGTATAATATAATAATAATGTGGAAACATATGATTTAATATGTATAAAAAAGTGTCCATAATATTATAACAGAAAAAAGACGATTATTAAATTGAAACAAACCTAGAAGACCTATTAATATCCGATAAATTGGTGGCTGTTAATCAGTATAATATAATAACATAATGAATTAAAAATGTCATAATAATTGCAGTAATATATAACTCTCATTGCTTAAGTACATACAACTGACACTTTCCTTAATATAATTTCAATCAATAAGTAAATTACTGAATTGTAGATTGAGAGTTAATTATTATTTCTCTACGCATTTATTTCTGCTTTATTAAGAGATTTGACTTGAGAAACCTTTATTATAAAACCTANTGCTAAATCGGCCAAGAAAGTGTTGGTCCTAGAGAATTTTATTTCAAGAGAAATGATAATAGATGTTTGTTTCATTTAATGACTGCGCCACGCCTCATAATTGTTCTTTAAATAGTTTTGTTTTAGTTATGTATAATATAATAATAATGTGGAAATATATGATTTAATATGTATAAAAAAATGTCCATAATATTATAACAGAAAAGAGACGATTATTAAATTGAAACAAACCTAGAAGACCTATTAATATCCGATAAATTGGTGACTGTTAATCAGTATAATATAATAACATAATGAATTAAAAATTTCATAATAATTGCAGTAATATTTAACTCTCATTGCTTAAGTACATACAACTGACACTTTCCTTAATATAATTTCAATCAATTAAATACTTTATAATTTAAATCAAGTAAATTACTGAATTGTAGATTGAGAGTTAATTATTATTTCTCTACGCATTTATTTCTGCTTTATTAAGAGATTTGACTTGAGAAACCTTTATTATAAAACCTACTGAACCGCACATTGTTTTAAGAAATTTTTAATCTCTAACAATCCATAGCATGAAATTAAATAGTCATGAAACCTCTCTCTGTTCCATATTAACTACAAATTTTGAATATTTTGGTGTAATTTGAATTACAACTGGGTTAAAAATCTTCAATTACTACTAACTATGGAATATAAAAATTAATTCAGAGAAGAAAGACTTGGATTCTACTTCAAAAATTTTTGCAGCATACAAATTTATTGTTAACAGTGATTTTATGTTGTTGTATATTAATTTAAACGATAATTACCCGTATAATTGTCAAATACATGATTTACAATGGTTATTTTGAATAATAATTATACAAAAATTTCTTTCTCAATTAAATGTTATTAAATAAGCTTTCACAGTTCAGGTGTTCACTTATAAATAATGGTGATTATGTTTTACATAAGGCGTCAAGTCGTTTTTGTCACATTTTTTCAGATTTTTAGTTTTTAGGTGACGTATGCAAGATTTTACACAAATTTTTATTAACTATTCTAGTAAATAAAAAAAAAATGGCTAACAAATCATAAAAATAATTAAACAAACCAGAAATTTATTGTTAATGATGGTTAAGCAGTTTTTTTTTTTTAACAGAATTACATTGTGTCTCTATCTTAGACGTTGGGCTTGGAAAACATTTGTTTTTACCAACTCATGACCCTGATTTGTTGAATTACATATAGGAAATATACAGTCAATACATTATTCAACTTGTCAATGAAGATGATGATGATGATAAAAAAATAATAATAACGATAAAATGATTTGTCCAGGGCTTAAGTGTTTTTTCTTTGCTTAGATGATATGCGGAAAATATTAAACAAGTTACGTCTCTGGATTGTTTCCATTGCGACTNATTTATTGTTAATGATGGTTAAGCAGTTTTTTTTTTTAACAGAATTACATTGTGTCTCTATCTTAGACGTTGGGCTTGGAAAACATTTGTTTTTACCAACTCATGACCCTGATTTGTTGAATTACATATAGGAAATATACAGTCAATACATTATTCAACTTGTCAATGAAGATGATGATGATGATAAAAAAATAATAATAACGATAAAATGATTTGTCCAGGGCTTAAGTGTTTTTTCTTTGCTTAGATGATATGCGGAAAATATTAAACAAGTTACGTCTCTGGATTGTTTCCATTGCGACTGACAAAACGCAATTAAATAATTATAAAGACTGACCAAACTTGACTGTAATTTTTAAATAATATATTATGGTAATGCATTTTAGGCACGTAATAATAATAAAATTATTCTGTTGTTTTTTTTATGACTTGATGTTTTCTCGGCTAGTTCATCAAAACAATAAACTTTTAAGGAATTGACTTTTGATCATGTTTTATGTATATTTAATCCTTGAATGCGTACTTATTGGGAAACTAAGTACGTATTTACGCATGTTTATTAGTAATAGAGAAAGTTCTTCAAGTTGGATATTATTGCAAAACACAATTAAAGCAGACCACAAAATTCAAGATAAATAACAATGAATTTTATAACCAAATATGTATATTTAGTTATAACGATGAGTAATTATGCTTAAATATATATAAATTTAGTTTTATTAGAAAAATTTTGCAGTCTACTACATATTTTCATTCTTAAGAACTTCTATCTGGAGTATTCAATTTCAATATTATCACTAATATGACGATGAAGTAAACATTTTAATTTTGCTGAATTTTAGTATTGTAGCGATTCATTTTATTTTATACTGTAATTTTACATTTTTCACATACTTATTAATAAAGTACATTGAATTTTCTATTAAATTCAATTATAAAACATTATTATATTCTGAAAAATAATTCTAACATATAAATTAAATAAATATTAGATAATGAATTTTTAGAACTCCAGAACATTTTTTTTTTAATAACTATTTATTTTGTGATAACTATAAAGGCTTACAACAAATAAACAAATATAATGTTAACTTGTTTACGGTTTTCTACCAGTTGACTAACATTTTGTCACAACTCACAAGTACAGTGACACTGAGATAATATCTAACAGAAAAAATAACTCTATCCAACTTCGCAATGTCTTAAAAATAAATACTGTATGGACTTCTATCGAGATCTTATCATTGCCAAAAAGTATTTGTAAACAATTTTTTTTAATAAGAATTAAATTTATTGAAATATGTTTTAAAATGCTGTTCAGATGTTAAAAAAACTTGATCCACAAGGGGAAGGCAATGAAATTAAGGCCAATATTTTACTTCCTTTAATTTTGTGATTAAAACTAAATTAGAATATGATTAATCAATATTCAATGTAATCGAATTATCAATGTCCATAAATTATAGTACAATTTAATCGAAACCATAATTCACTTATACAAAAAATACCATTGATACAGAAACGTGTAATATTCAGTAATATACCTAAGATTTTATCATGGGCTATATACAAAAAAAATTTCTCTTGCCCCTTTACGTTGTGACAGAATCATATATTTTGGGATTTCTAATGAGGGTTACAACAGAAAACGCCCACTTTTGTTTATTCATTGTGTTTTAACAATTATTAGAAAAGGTTGAATACGAGTAAGTGTTCTTATAAAATATTTGTTATATTCGGGAAAGTTTTGATTAATATATCTAAATGAATTAAACATATAATATTCCATTTGGACCGTAAAAAAATGGTAATGCCATTCTGACGTTAGAATGTGTTTTAATTCCAAGTTTGGAATAAATAATTTCTCTTTAATTATTATTTCACGTTTGTATATCTTTAACATTATTCATTTCCTGTTGGACAACCCGCCAAATATACTCAACATGATCATGAGTTAAATTTTTGTCAATGGTAAACAAAATTTTTATTATTACGAATACTGTAATACACGTAATATATTTATTTGATAGAACTGGATCACTGATATTTTTATTCGTGTTAAATAACTTAAACATTCATTGATTTTGAAATAAACTAGTAGGTTTATGGAACCAATTCACTGCATTCATTTTGTTGGCTTTAATTGAAATTAAACATAACCGTCGTTTACTAACGAAAATATTCCATAACGATTTTAAAAATACTTTATAACGACAAATATGTACGATGTGTTTTAATTTATATATTATGTAAACCTATTAAATCCACAGCGTAGCCACATATTTCTCCTAAAGGGTCAATTTTAATTACAATCATCTAACCAGCATTAATGGTTTCTTGAATGCATATTTTGCATTATTGCTCTGTCATGTTCTGTGATTGCGTTTTTTGTAGAATTATTGTAATTAATATTAAAATTCGAATTTCCGGTTAGATTCATTTCTAAAGACTATTTACATGCGTCACTGGCTGACGTGATACCCATAATTTAGGAAATACAGACAGATACGGCCAATGTTGCGGTGATTCATTTGGTTTTATAACGAATTCCTTTTAATAAAATTATTATGTTATTGATAACAATAGATATCTAGGACAGCTCATCCTCGTAATAATAATAATAATAATAGTATTATAATTCTTCCCCGTCATAGCTCATCGGCGGTAGAAGCACTTCTCTTATCCGCCGTCACGTCCTTTCGGTCCTTGGCTCCTACTCCGGCACTGGTGACCCGGTCGTCGCCGCTGCCGTTGCTTTCCCACTACCAACAACCAGTTACCGCCACTACCGCCTTGGTCGCGGCCGCCTTCTCCACTACTATCGTGACGGGCAACATCATCGTCGCGCTCACCGTGGACTTGTTCTTTCCAGCAACATTACCTTAGTACCGCGGCCGGGCCAAGTCAGTGCATCGCGGTCATCGTACATACGTCGTGTGCGCGTTGGTTGTACCGATAAATCATGTATTAAGTATTATAGTATTCGTCCGACGGCTCTCTACAACGTACACACGGCTACTTAACGCCACTACTTAGTATTTAAAAAAAAAAAAAATTCATTTTTTTCACACTCTTGGTTTTTTTAAATATCGTTATTTTACCTTAACCACTGCCGTTAAAGTTTGTTTTATTAATTTATCGCTCGTTACACAGCCGTTTTCGCGGCCCCGATTGTTCGAGATAATCGGTTATCGGTTGTTAGCGTGAAGTCTTGGACAGGAGCTGCTCTAAGTCAGCATTCCTGTTTCACCCCGCTCGACCGGGTTTGGTCAGCTCGACTCTAAAACCGGACCATAATCCGAAGCAAGATGCACAACAAAAAGGGCAAGCTATGCACGAAACTGACCAGCAGCTTCCTGAGGAAGTGGTGTAAGTGTTAAACGTGATATTATTTTCGTAATTAGATTTACCAGGTATTAGTTAGGTTCGTTTATGGCGCGCCGAGATGGCGGCAAATATTAAAACAAGTAAGTTTCTCTTCGAGCCGACCGAGTGACCAACGACGGTCGGCTTAACGGACTTGGCGATTTCTCTCGTCTCTAACATTATCTTTTACAACCGGTTTAGTGGTCGCAGCCGTTCTTCGGGGCGCGCATTACAACACTTCTACCGAACCATCTCGTCGTTGTTTGTATACATTTGTTTAACACGGCCCGAATTCGGAATGCATTTCCTGAGTGTTGTTGTTTACACGCGCGAGTACGGCAAACATTTCGGTTTTCCTCGTGGATCGTGATAATAATAACATTTTTGCACACTCGTGTACGGTAGACGACCGGCCAACGCGTGTTTCCAAAACATCGAAAGCACAACGTGTTTGAATCAGAAAATAACAAATGAAAAAAACGCGTTAGCCCCAACCGAACCACCAAACAACAACACTACGTGCAAACATGAATGATACACCGCGTAGAACATTGCAAACCGTGACAGAAATTGTAGTTTTTTTTCAACAACAAGTTATTTCGCTGGGTTTTTAATAGCATAATTCCGACCAACACCTCATTACCAATATCGTCATTACCCATACTGCATTAGCAGCAGTTACTCTGTGCTGCAGTTGCCGCCGATTGGATATTGCCGCATTCTTTATAGGCGGCACGGCAGTGCTCTGCATAATATTAGTCACCGGCAACAATAATAATGACAATAAATTATAAAAACAACTTCTTACACGTGCACGCTCAGCTAATGTTTTTAATGTAATATTTTAATTAGTAATGAAAAATAAAAACGACGACGATAATATCATCAACGTCATTGCACGTACAAAGAGATGATATCTCTGTCAACCGGTCGGCACGGCTTTCAATTGGCGTCATCTGCAAGTTCACGTCGTGGGAGATATGCTGTGTGACCGAATTTCGACAAAGAAGCGTCGCTAAAAATAAAGTCATTATCGCGGTTAGTGTTATCATTATGCCTAGACACGTTTTTCAACGGTCCAATTTTCGATTGTTCTAAGACTGCACATTTGATTCGATCAACGAGAACTCAGAAAAGGGAATCGTAAACCGGCTCGAGTACTCGAAGCCCATTAAAGAGAAACGATATAAATGGATCTGTTTTCGTTTCAAGACGTAATGTCCCACGAATAGTCAATACTGTAATAATGTCACATGACGTCTCCATGTTAATGTCATTGGTTTTTTCCCGATAAGAGGTACCCGAGGACACGTCAATCTGTCCAGGAATCATTTAGCCGCGTATTAAACGCTGATTAGGAATAAAAGATCCATCGCATTTTAATTATCTATTGAAGCGCTCGGCAGGCTGTTGGGAGCGATTCACTGCGCCTACTAGAAGTATTGTCTGTACGATCGATTCAAACGCCGACCAGTTTGCACGATAAAAAATACCGAAGCTAACGGTACACGAATAGCACACTTTTCTGAGCGCTACACACACACACACAGACGTTCGAGTTTCATACCAAATGCAGTAAGCCAAAGCGAAGAACAATAACGATATAGTGTCCATCGGTCGATCTCCACCCAGTTAAATGGACAATTATGTCTGTGTGTAATAGTAATTACTGGGTTCCCGTATTCGACGGCGAATATTTAGGCCAAAACGGCTGCTGCGATGCACTCACAGCCGAGTGTGTGTGTAACATTGCCAACTGGCCCGCGAGACGGAATGACGTTCCGTGGGAAAGAAAAGTAATACTATTACTGTTGTTATTTCATTATTATCGTGTCGCTGGTTTCGTGACCCGGCCGAAGGTTTTTCGCAGAATGCAAATTTTGAATTCGTCGCATTTCTTCTGACAGCCTACGAACACGGCCAAGATCCAGTTTGCACGAATCTCCATAACGTCGAATGTTATTCTTTTGGCCGTATACAACACACGCATATGGCCGCACCGGTGTGTAGTCAAGTAGCGGTAAAGTATGTGCGCGTTCGGTGGCCGCGCGGAGAAAAAAGAGAAAGTCCAAAACGCGTGTAAGGTCGCCTCGGGCGGCCCAAACCGTCAAGAAAGTATAATACTCTTATGCATTCGTCACCGCGGCCGCCTGTACGGTGTCGGACCAATGAAATATAACATAACACCAGTGTGTCTATACAAATATGCGAGTCGTGGAAACGAACGGCTGGTATTGTAATGGCCGTTATGCCGTCTCGCATTTATGTGTTTTCTATGACCTTTTTTGCCGGTCAGTAGACCGCGGTCGTATTCAGGGACACGGAAATCGCATTAAGAGACTATTATTAATAAAGAAACATAATTACAGAAAATGTCATAAAAAACCGTGCATCGTTTTATCGACGCACGAACATTGAGACGACAAAAGGAAGCGTCTACGTAACACGGTCCCATTAAGTTATTATGTATACACGAGTGGCGTAAGAGACAAGATTTACTCCTTTTACAATATTATTATGTGTTTTATTCTCTCCCTCTGCATTGTTGTGTTTTTTTTTTTACGTGTATTTTCGTTGTTTATTATTATTATTTTGCACTTTGGTCACTGAAGTGATTGCCACAGAGGTCGATTACCGCAGTGTTTACGAATTTCTATTGTACTCAAAATACAGATATCGTGTATCATAGAACCCTTTCGCTAGTTGATTAAAGCGAAAAATATGTTTGACTTTGAGACAGAGAAAAACTGTCTATTCAACGAATACAGTTTAAACGATGTGGCGTCACTTGTACCAGTGCACAATCATTAGTAAATACTTTGGCGTAAGTAGATCTCTTATGTAAGCCATTTGGTTTAAGAAGAAATGTGGAGGGTTCTTAAATATACATATTGGTTCGATTTTTGTCGCCTAAGATTATGTAAATCAAAATTAAAAAAATACTTTTACTAACAGAAAATGTTGCCGTGAAGTCTTAGTACAGAGAATCATATTTATTTATATATATAATATTAACATATTATAAATATAAAACTGAAAATGCTGACATTTCATTTTTAATTGCGCATAAATTCAGATGTTATGAATTTAAACAATTAAATAGTTTAAATTGAATTATTTTTATTTGACGTACAAATTATGTCTTATTTAAATAAACACATCATTATAATATTCTTTCAACGTTAAATCCATAACTATTATTTAACGAAAAAAAGTTTTTTTTTCCTAATTTGGAGGTTGTTTAGAAATTTACACATTAGGAATAATCCAGTAATTAAAGTAAGGTACTCACAATTAACGTGATTGGTTAACCTTGTATATATATTTACCCTGTACTTGAAAAAAATAATTAAAATTCTTCCGCTTTTTTTAATTTAAAGTTGTAAAAAGTTTTGTGCGACTGTTGGATATTCGTCAAAATTGATGAAATGCTTTCTATAGGACGTCCATCTTATAAGAGTAAATAGTCAATAATAACGTACACGCAGAATTAATTTCATATAGTGTTACGCTGCTACTCTGAAGGTAAGCAATTGCCTAATCGAAAATAATCAGATGCGACTGTAATAATAATTATCTAACCAGAATTTAATTATACCCCGTATCGTTTAGACAATAAACTCATGTGATTAACTGCAGTGTTGGCTTAAAAGATTATTGAGTGGAAACGAAAGGCCATAGATAATCTAATTACCATGTGATGCGCGCCAACCTAAATATAATAGAAGTATTAAACGAGTGTTGAAAGCATTATCAGTGAGAAATTTTAACCGTTTGAAAATTTCCCCCTAGACTGTTGGTAGAAATGAGAGACTTAGAAGCGGATTTTGATTTTATTTATTGGACCGTTTCGAGTGTCTCTTACTATCGCCTAAATTAAATGAAACACATTCATAATATATAATTAACCACTAATATAATTTCATAGATGATTGATGCGTTACATAATAATTATCGTTGCATTAAATATCAATTATAACTGTTCCAATGGTAAAAAATACCGAGTAAAAAACTTTCTATGAATACAAACTGTTACAGTAGCTAATCATAATATTTGTGTACCCATTTAAGCAAAGCGTAAACTAGAAAACCGCAGTCGCTTGTAAAACAACAACAAATACCACCGAGTATAATAATTCTTACGTAGTCGCAATACTTGGCGTTTATACGTTCATAATGTGTTTTTTCTATTTTGGGAAACCATTTACAGCGTACATGGTACTTTTTAAGGCATTGTTAATTAATACGTTTTTAGAAAATTTATTGTATTGAGACCTAGACTGCATAAAAGTATGTGCAGTATGTAGAGTATGACTAAACACAGGCGTTGGTCATACTACCGTATCAGCTAGTCTAGAGTTTTACTCGACGCTTATAGGAGTAAAGGTATTTTCTTTTTTAGAATGCCAAATTTGTTGGTGTACACGAGGATCCTTCGAATAATTGTTTTAAATGTATTAATCAAACGTGTGTACGAATCAAGGTCACTGTGTACAATTTATTTGAATTTCATATTTTAGTTCACCATGCTTATCTTTGTGTTAAAATCAATGCCCATATTAGAATGTAATTGAAAACAACATTTTTAAGGCTACTCTATTCAAGCAGGTTGTCAAGAGGATACGTCATTCTACGTTTGCTGATTCAATTCACGCGAACATTCGGTTGCAACTTAACATATACATATGAAATAAAAAACCCGATGAGTATCTCTTTGTGACCGTTGACTAGGATTAATATTTCCTAGTACAGAGTTGTAAATATCACAGTATAGTAATTGTCGTTCGAGTGTAATTTGATATGTTATGCATATTACGTTAATTATTGGTGTTAATCATATTATGTGTAAATTGTGAAAAATTATTAATTATTAAGTCGTAAATTATTTTCACACACTTGATATTTTAACAATTGACTAATGTTTAAAAATTCGAAAAGGAAAATTTTCAATGTTCTTGGTGATTTTTAAAGTACAAAAACACAATGTGAATATGACATGAATGTATTATTATGGAATTAGTCGACGACCGTCAAATCGTCATTGCCAAAGCTCTGTGTTATGATGAGCAAATAATTATTAAAATTATTTTCACATAATATACGTCGATCGTCGTTATTTTTAGATAAACAAACAGAGAATTTATTTCGTAAAAATATAATAATATTTCACGCACACGATTATTTGTAGGTCATTTATACATGTGTTGAATGTTCAGATTGATACTGGTTTCAAATCGATACACGATACTTGATAGACAGAACATTTAACACCGTGTCAATGATAGAACATGGTAGTAATTAATCGCCTCAAAACAGTATGATGTTATAATTTAACTCGCACCTCACACGTGAAAATATTCTCATTAAGTAATGCTAATGAAAAATTGATGTTTAATAATAACTGAAGAATCGAATGACAAACAGGTTTGTCAGAAAAATCTGATACATTAATAGACGATAAATGATTGGACTAAGATGACTGTACAAGAAAACTATCTTATCGACACCGCCGTCGTTTCTAATAGCGGCTGCTGTGATAATTACAGTTCTTTGGCGTATATTTATAAATATGTTTCGAAAAAATAATATCCTCGTTCATCACTTATCACGGCCACGTGACAACAAGGATGTTTTGCAGAATCGAAAGGAAAGAAAAAAATATTACCGGACGAATTCTCCATCAATGACAGAGTACATAAATATTGAAATTTTTTGGCCGTGTCTAAATGTTTTTTCTCGATTTTTAAACGTTTTGTAATTATTTATCGCAACGGGTGTTTTTTTGTTAACCTTTAGGTTTAAAAAGTATTTAACAATCACGGTCATGATAAATAATAATATATTAAGATGTTTAGCCTAAAGTACCAAATAATGAAACGGAAATTTCAATTAGACTTCTGCGTATCTTAAATCTTTTCTTCCGTGTCCGAGAGGAAGACGTTTCAGAAAACAAAAAGAAAATTCACAATTTTTTCTTATTTTTGATCTCTTTCGTAAAAATAATTTAATAATAATTATCTGGTCACTGCAAAAGCAATGTATTTGCATTTAATAAACATTTTATAGTAACTCGCATTTCAACCGTTCAGAATAAATATATAATTTTTTAGCGAATATTAAAAAAAATATATATATATTATTAAAACTATGCAATACTAGGAAAAATTGTAACGCATTGTATTTTTATTTCCTGTTCAAGCGGATTGGTTGTATCACGATACCTATAGAAGGTTATCTTGATAGCATTTGACTGCTGACTGATTTTTAGAGAAACGGGAACAGTAAAAAATCTGTAGCGCCAACTGTGCAACTCATTAGTAGCTTTTTTTAAAATGTTCAACGAACGAATAAGAATTTCATTTGGAAAATTTTCAAAAAACTTAAAAGCTACTAGTTCATCTTTATCTTATGTTTTTCTAGGGGTTGTCATTGTCATCGCCTTGGGTCTTCTGATCGCAGGATTCCTAGTTTTAGGATGTTTCACTGCTCTAGTCAACTTAATAATAGATGATGTAAGTATTTATTTAAAGTTGTGCTATATTTAATATACAGTAAATATATTAACATTATCCTTGATTTAATGTTATATAAGTCCTCGAGTTTAGGCATTACAGTAAAAATATTATGCTCTTAGCACCTTACTACTGTAAATAGTAAGGTGCTTTAATAGTAAAAATTCTGTTGAATTTTATGAATTTCAAAAGTATTTAAAAACATTTTTTTAAATTAATTTTATTACAAAATAGCTAACTAGTTAACCTTCTCATTTAATAATTGAAAAATTCGGACTCCAAGTGGTTAATCATTGTAAAGGATTCGATGATATCATGTTCAGAATAAAAGTTAATTTTAGGTTTACATATAATTAATGAACATTTTTTTATAGCAAATCACTTTAAGGCCTGGTGGACATACGTTTGAAATGTGGCGAAAGCCACCCGTTAATCCATTGATCAAAGTGTACATTTACAACGTTACGAACGCTGATGAATTCTTAAACGTTGGTCCCGATGGTCAACGCGAAAAGCCAGTGCTTGATGAACTCGGCCCATACGTTTACGTGTAAGTATATTGTACATTTTTAAGATTTATGAAATTATTTTTGACTTTATTTGTCTAACGTAGAGAAACTTGGGAAAAGGTCAATTTAACTTTTCACTCCAATGGAACACTTACTTACAACCAGCGCAAAACATATGTTTTTGATCCAGAACAAAGTATAGGGTCTGAAGATGATATGGTCGTTGTACCTAACATTCCCATGCTAGTATGTATAAATTGTATTAACCTTAGACTTTTAATTGATGGTTTCTTATATTGAGAACATATTTCATTTACAGAGCGCTACTTCACAAAGTAAGCATGCCGCAAGGTTCCTTAGGTTGGCCATGGCTAGTATTATGGACATTCTAAAAGTGAAACCCTTTGTTGAAGTTTCCGTCGGACAACTGCTGTGGGGTTATGAAGATCCATTGTTAAAACTTGCCAAAGATGTGGTTCCCAAGGAACAAAAATTACCCTACGAAGAATTTGGTCTTCTCTACGGCGTACGTATAAAAAAAATTTATTGATTTATAATTAAAAAGTTCCTTTGCTACGAAGGTTAAACTAAGAGTATTTAGTCAGTAGTTCTCATCGTATGTGACCGGATTACCGATTTCATTTCGATGTTACCTTGACCGAAAATATATTTTTAAAGTAAAATAATATTTCATTATATATTTTTTGGCAACGTCCTTTTTATTAGCTTCAATGGATCATCGACACGTACAGTGTAAAAACTATAGCCGACCTATTACGTCATTTGGATTTAGATCGATTGTTAGACAATACAGATAATGGGTTTTTGGAAGGCATTATAAATGCAGGTTATCATATGGTATCAACTTGGACAAAGGGTACTTTCCCTATTAAAAAAATTGGACCTAAATCGCGTTCTTCAGCTCACATACAGTATATCCCGAAAAAAAGTACATCAAAAGACTTAAAATCTCCCTATACTGAATTATATTATCAACCGACCAGAAACACTAGCGTCATGTCAGTTATGCAGAGACCGGTTAGAAAAACGAAAAATAACTTTATACACCTTCAAAGTGTTTTTATTGCAATACAAAACACCCCATTGGATTTTTAAAAACACAATATTTCATTTTTGTTTACAAAATTGGTTTTAGGTGGTGTTTTTACATTTTTTATATAAACATATTTTTTTTATTACTTTTGCACGTGTGTGTATTTTTCATCAATTACACTGTGATTTTTTTCACCAATCATTTAGTGCTACACTTTATGAATGAATTTTAATTGGAAATATTAATTTAAATGTTATATTTAAATAGAAAAATGGAACATCAAAGGACAATGTAACAGTGTTTACTGGAGCAACTGATATAAGACTTTTTGCGTCACTAGATAAATTCAATGGCCGTAGTCACATGCAACACTGGACTACAACAGAATGCAACCGTATGTCTGGTGGTAGTGACGGATCTCTTTTTCCTCCACACATCACAATGAACACAACTTTGCACATATTTGACAAAGATATGTGCCGTAAACTTCCATTGGTGTTAGTATAATTATAATTTGAAATAGATAATGAGTTATCATTGATATCAATGTTAACCTATAATTTCAATGAAAATTTTTATTTTACAGATTTAATAAAGAAGTAGAAACAAATGGACAAGTATTGGGTTATAGATTCGTTCCTAGTGAAAAAGCTTTTGCCGACACTGATCACAATCCAGAAAATCAATGTTACTGTCCATCGGCAAGTCCTGGTAACACTACAACTAATTCTTCTTCACCACGACCATCAATTGCTGGTCAGTGTGCTCCTCATGGAACTTTCAACGTTAGTCTTTGCCAATACGGTAAGTCAATGTTTATTGAAAAATAACCTTATTTATTTATGGATTTTCTTATGTGATATAATTAATTTTAAAAATACTGTTTTAACTTTAGACTCTCCAGTTTTGCTATCTTTCCCACACTTTTACATGGGTGAAGATCGTTTGAGAACTGCTGTTGATGGTCTCAGTCCACCCGATCCAGAACTTCATCAGTTTTACATTGACATCCAACCAGTAAGTATTCTTTACAATACAAAAATTAAATATTAATTCAAGTATTAATACATAATGTAATCTTATAGGAAATGGGAGTAGCTCTCAGAGCTAAAGCTAGAGTTCAGATTAATTTGGCAGTCAGTCAAGTAGTTGATATCAAACAAGTCGCCACCTTCCCAGACATTATTTTCCCTATCATGTGGTTCGAAGAAGTATGTAATTTAAGTTTTGTTTGTCCTTTTAAGACTAATAAAATTATTTTTTTATAGGGTATCGAAGGATTGCCAGCTGACGTTACTGATCTACTTCGACTTGCAACTCAAACGCCTCCTGTTGCTAAATCTGCTTTACAGTATTCCCTCTTTACCGTAGGAACTATTTTATTGGTCTTAGCAAGCATTTGTCTAGTAAGGAAATCTAGCCGACAAGAAACCATGTCACTGGAAGGTACAGCACATTATGCTGTTGGCGAAAAAGCGACGAATAAAAAGAAATCAATATCTGCATCAAATGGTTTATCAGTCAATGGTGGAAAACAGAATCAAGGTTTCACACATGACTCATAGAATATTAATCTGTTAGATAGATTTCCTTATGATGTTCATATGCTGTGTATATGATAACATAATGATAGATATTATCGGTGATTATAACGTATAACCAAGAAAGCTCAACACACATTTTATACTTAATATAATTTTATGTATAATATCAAAGTTTTGTTGTGCTGTTTTATTATTAAATATATAATTATTGAATTTTGTAATGATGTCCCCTCGTTTCGAAATAATAAACGTTTGGTGCAGGTGTATACAAGTTCTCCCCTTCCCCTAGCCATTCAACTACAAAAGTCCTTGTATATTATGTTTTGCTCATTATAGATTATTTTAATTATTCGTTATTAATTGTATGAGTATTTTTATTATTATTATGTAATTGTGACGTTTGTAAATAGAAAAACAATTATATTATTTGATGTCGCATATAACAACAAATCCGTCTTCCATTACAAGTATATGTAAGCTCCGTGTTTTAAATTATTATGATTTTTTTTTTTTAATATGAAGTATGTATAATTTTATTGTATATCAATATCGCTCTGAAGAGATTTTATAATCAAACTGCGTTATATACTTAAATAGTATTATAATTATTGTATTTAGTATTACCATATTATTTGTAAATGCGTTTATGCGAATATTTGTTTGTGTGTGCGTGTTATTGTGTGTACAAAATATAGAAACAAAATAAGAAACCAATTATATTATTGTCTTCGTAATTATTAATTAACTTCTTCGCTATTTTTATTAATGAAACTTTATATTATTTTGTATATTTGTCATTTAAAAAATATATACAGAGTAATTAATTAAGTTAAAATATTCAGCTAAATATACAGAGTAATATTTTTATCATAACCCACTCAATTACTTACAGAATAAATATAATTTAAACATTTTTTTTTTCGTTATCTTTAGTTACACATTATTCTTGAACTATTAACTATGTAATACTTTTTAAGATCATTCCTTTTATCTTTCAAGGGTGACAACTGTTTTTAGCTTCGATGCGATTCTGAAACGGTATTAATTTTACCATGATGTGTTTTTTTTTGTGTCTGTTGCTACTTTTTCTCAACTTTCATTGTACCGATTTTATTCAACAATAAGATCACAAATTGTATCTAGATGAAGACATTGTCCTTAAAAATTAAAAAATTTCCCTCGTTCCCCGTAAATGGGGGAAATCTCCAAAATAAATAAAATTTTAAAAATCAGTAATTTTCTACATTTTTTTCACTTTTTTTCTTAAAAGTACCATACTTTTTCCAAAAATTAACAAATAAAAATAATTTTTTTTTTATTGAAACCTTAAGTAGTTCCCACAAGATGAGATTCAAAATAAAAACTTTTTTTCAAAACTCAATATTTTCAACTTAAGTATAGAAAATGATCCGGAAACACTGCGTCCTTTAAAAATAGGTCAAATTAAAGCTTATGTTATGTACTATAAATTAAAAAAAAAAATTTGACCCTACGACTTAACTTCTACGTGAAAACGGCTGCCGTAGTTAAAAAAATTCTATTTTTGTGTTAAAATTTTCGATTTTAAATTTTTACTTTAAATTGCTATAACATTTCGAAAAATGTATATATCAACACAAATTTTTCTTTGTAAATACGTTATATATACTTCTTTATTCAACATACTTTTTTTTAAATCGAACAATTTCCCTTTATATAGGGGGCGTTTACAACTTGATACATTCGTATAAAAAGTAGGACTTTTTCAACATAACTTTTGAAAATGTTCTGAAAGTACTGCGTCCTTTAACATATGTTAAAATAAGGCATACATTTTGTACTATAAATTGAAAAAAAATATTAACAAATGAAAATAATATTTTTTTATATTGAAACAAGGTATTTTCCTTTTATTTGATATAATTTTTTTTTTTATTTGAAATTTTACTTACACAGGTGGGATTAAAAATAGCAACTCTTCTCAAAAGTCAATTTTTTCAACTTATATTTAGAAAAAGTTCCGGAAATACTGCGTCCTTTAAACATATGTCAAATTAAAGCTTTTTTTTTATAAAATTTTATAATTTAAAAATGTTGAACTTTTAAACACAATTTTAACTCAACTTGCAAGTTAAAAATTTATATCATTAAATAGAAAAATGTATGAGCAGTAAAATATATTTTTTTTTTAATTTAATATGAGATCAGAAACTATTTAATAATTTTATTATCAATTAATGAGGAATATTAAATTTCCGTTTCAAAAAAGTTTCATTGTATTATTATTGAACAAATTTTTTAAATCTTACTAAGCATTCCTATGCAATTCTTGGAGTTAAAATAATTATTTATATTGAATAACTATACATAATACATTCTGCTTGTTACGTTTTTTTTTAATTTAAATATATTTATTGATTATTCATACGAAACATAATAATCAAACATAAATATTTGTTATATTAATTAGAAAGATTTTGTTATTATTTAGTCCATATATGAAACTTTAATTGAAGATTTGAAATAGGCACAAAAATGGGTTTAGAAAAGTTCTGAAACTTTTTTGTTATCTGATGAAAATTCCTTATACACTGATAAATTTTTTTTTGAAAAATCATTAAGTCCTTTAACTTTTATATGTGTTTGTCATAATAGTAATATTTACTTAATAATTTTTTTTTAATTTCTCCGTAAAAATTATAGTAATAAATTATTAAATACAAATTTCATACTATAAAAAATATTTATTCATATATTACAATTTTCTATCATAAAGTCGTACCAAATTAATATTTTTTATTTATTTATCTAAGTTTCTTCATTTTATTTTGAATTATTAATATAATTGTTATTGGCTTTTTTATAATCGGACACGACAAGAAGAAGATATATATCTTGTAATCAGGATATAAGTCAGTAAATAAAAGTTAATTTTGCTTTTTAAGTTATAGATTACAGAAACTACAAATTAATTCTTATATTTTCACGTCCTTAATTACAAATTATTTCTAATTATTACACCCTTAATTTTCGCTCAATACATTTCACATCCTTAATAACTAAATATAATACTTTGTACCCCTTAATTACTAATTAAAACTAATTTCCACACCCTTAATAAAAATACTACTAATTTATAATAATTAACATGTATAAAAGGTCAGTCTTTCCGGAACAATTTCAAAAGTAAAGGTGAAAAAGTTCTACTTTCTATACGCATTTTTAAAGGTTCGAACCCCCCTATATAAAGGGAATTTGTCCGATTTAAAAAAAAATTATATCGAATGAAAGAGGTATATATAAAGTATTTATCATTACAGAATAGAATTGATCCATGCATTTTTTAAAATGTTATAGCAACATAATGTTAAAAAATGTAAAATATAATATCAAGAATTTTTTCACAAAAATAGCATATTTTTTCATACTTTAGTCATTTTTACCATGAAGACAAGTTCAGAGGTCAAATTTTTTTATGAAAATAAAGTATATTATATAAGCTTTAATTTAAGGTATATATAAAAGTGTCAGTCTTTCCGGAACATTTTCAAAAATTAAGATGAAAAAGTTAATTTTTTGTGAATAAGTTACCATTTTGAAACCCTTCCTGTGGACTGGTAAAGGGTCAAATGTTCACAAAAATATATAAAATGATAGGTAAATACCTAAGGTATCTATGAAAAAAAAAGTTATATTGATTTGGTCGTTTTTAAAAAATTTATGGCAGTTTTAAATAAAAAAAATTGAAAAAATATCGAAAATTAGCGATTTTTACATTTCTAATTTTTTGGGGGATTTCCCCCGTTTACGGAGAACGAGGGAATTTTTTTCAATTTTTGAGGGTAATGTCTTCGACTAGATACGATTTGGGATCTTTTGACGTATTGTTCATCAAAATCGGTTCAGCGAGAGCTGAGATTGAGCGTTCACAGACACAAAAAAAAAAACACATCATAGGTAAAATTAATACTTTCTCAGCTTCGCATCGAAGCTAAAAAATTATATAATATATAATTTTATCAAATATATTATATTTTAAAATATAAAAATTAAATAATCAATATTATCTATTTCAGTTTTAAAAAAAATGTATCACTACGATAGCCATGAAAATACTTGAAACACAAACAAAAAAGAACGTTTGCTTTAACATTGAAATGATGTTTTCCCAATGTGTATAAAAATTATATATGGCAAATTATTATCATGCAATGTACAAATAATATATAAGCTTCACGACGGTAAAAATAAGAATGGGTTTTTTATGAAAATTTATACAAGTTAATTTTTAATTAGTTAAATATAGCTAATTTATTTTAATATTTTCAATAACAAATAAATTTCATAAATTATGTAAATTTTTTATTGATATACATTTTTCTAGAAAATATATAAACTTATAACGTTTACTAAAACTTAATAAGTATTCTACAGTAGTACTTTTTTCTTACAGTTTTAGACATATACTAGAAATAGGACATTTTTAAAAGTCCATGTACTCATATTAGGTAAATAATATAGGTCTTATACTTAATAAATTAAATAATTATAACAAAAATGTGTTTAAAATAATAATTAATAATTAATGTATAAGATTCTTTCACTTAGCAACTAGATTGTAAAATAATAATTCTTGTTGTTTATAATTAAAAAAAAAAAAAATTGATATCATCATCAATATTGTTTAACTGTCATTAAAATAACCATGGTTGTTGTAAGGAGAAGACAGAGTACATGTAAAGAGTGATATTAATTTGAAAATCTAATGAGTTGAAATATATTGGACATCGTCTAAAATACTATTTGGAGCTAAATAGTCCATTACAATGTATAATGTAAAGAAACATAACACAATGAATCCCAAATTATATTTTTGGAATAATTTTTAAAATTTAATTTACTACTTATTCTTACAAATACAACTGTAAAAAAAATTTAAATATAAATATGCATAAAAAATATGCAACAAAAATTATTTTTATTACAAAGAATGTATAATTATAAGTAGAATAATATAATCATAATAATAAAATAATCAAATATGAAAAAAACGGTCCTTAAGCATTGCCAAATGTTAAATATTAATAATTATCTATTATAAGTAGGAAAAATAAATATATAATTTTTTAAAAATCTATTTTTCATAAAACAATTTATAGAAAGTAAACCTCAGTTTGCAGTTATGTCTAATAAAAACTTGGATAATATACACAATAATCATATATTAATCAAACTATTATAAAACTTGAATTTTTCTAAATTGGTAACCGGTGTTAGTATAAAGTTACCGGTTTTGTAAAAAGCGGTTGTTAATTATCGATTTTTTAGAAAAGTAAGAAAAAAGAAAATAAATGTTAAACGCTTAAAAGCGGTTATGGTTTTTTCGGTTACCAGCAATCGATAAAAATCGGTAATAATAAAATAAAATTTTAAAGTACTTATTTTCATACATGAAAAAAAATTTCAGAGAGGCTATTCAAATTTTTAATTTGAACAATTTTTAACTATTCCACTTTACAAGTGTCATTAACATATAACTATTTTCTTCATGGTAGTTGACACAACATTAATACTGTTATAGTAAGAACTACAGTGTTAGAACATAAACTATCAGTGTTATTTTATTTAAGATTTAGGCTGAATATGGNCAGTTAGGCTTATGTTCTGAGAAGGTATGAATAAGAAAATCTTTCTCTATTACACTTAATAAAAAAAGTTGTATCTTCACAGAGTAATTA